CGCTAGGTTCGGGCCCGTAGGTCCGCGTTGGTGTCGCTAGGTGTATCCTAGCACGCAGAAATAGTGGGAGTATTCCTGGTTCGTAGCTAGCATGCGTTAAGGCCAGCGTCGTTACCAATCCTGGCAGAGCCTGCGATACGCTAATATCCCGTATTGCGAGTTGTAATGAGAGAAGTTAGTGTTAAAGTGAAAAATAGATGTGAGAACATTAGAGAAAATGTGTATTATATAGATATGTAGATCATATATATATATATATATATATACATACACACACACACACACAAATATCAATGAGTGTTTAAACCATTGTAAGGATGCAGTATGTTAACAGAGGATTTCAGGTGAGGAGAGGTTTAGTGACTTGATTGGTGTGTTTAGGAAACCAGCTGATTTGCACTATCTATAAGTAAGGTAATGACCATGGTGTGGGGTGGGGCAATCTTCCAGAGTTGATACCTCTGCTCAGAAGATTCTGCAGGAATTGGTTGCTTGGGAGTGCTGGGTGTTATTGCTGTTTTAAGGGGCCCAGTCTGAAATATAAGGTCTGAAGTTAGAAGGATAAAAAAAGAAATAAAACACACTATTATGGCTGGGGAGAAATGGGGCTATTGAGGTAATTAATTAGAGATGAAAAACTAAAGGAGAGAACATTTCGGATAAAAAGATATGAAGGATCAGATAGGTGAAAGTCAAACCATGAACATAAATTTACAAGATTATCAGTGAGAGTAGTAACACTAGCTAAACAAACAATTAGCAAAGAGTCTTAGAGAATGAACATAAAATGACATGATCATACCAACTTTAAGAAAAACAAAAACAGAAGATCAGGATGGGAGATATAGTTATCGATTAAGTAGTGATAGTATAGGGAGGGAGATGGAATAGAACACAATCTTAAAATAAGAGTTTAAAGGAAACAGTAATGCAGGAATTCTTGAGTATGTCATATGTCAAAATGTATCAGAATACTGGATGTAGTATTGTTTCTTGTTTATGTTTACAGCCTTATTTAAAGGGACACCATAGTCACCTGAACAACTTTAGCTTAATGAAGCAGTTTTGGTGTATAGAACATGCCCCTGCAGCCTCACTGCTCAATCCTCTGCCATTTAGGAGTTAAATCCCTTTGTTTATGAACCCTAGTCACACCTCCCTGCATGTGACTTGCACAGCCTTCCATAAACACGTCCTGTAAAGAGAGCCCTATTTAGACTTTCTTTATTGCAAGTTCTGTTTAATTAAGATTTTCTTATCCCCTGCTATGTTAATAGCTTGCTAGACCCTGCAAGAGCCTCCTGTATTTGATTAAAGTTCAATTTAGAGATTGAGATACAATTATTTAAGGTAAACTACATCTGTTTGAAAGTGAAACCATTTTTTTTTCATGCAGGCTCTGTCAATCATAGCCAGGTGTGGGTAGGGCTGCATAAACAGAAACAAAGTGACAGTAAATTGAACAGTGACATTGCAGGGGAATGATCTATATACTAAAACTGCTTTATTTAGCTAAAGTACCGTATATACTCGAGTATAAGCCGACCCGAATATAAGCCGAGGCCCCTAATTTTACCCAAAAAAACTGGGAAAACGTATTGACTCGAGTATAAGACTAGGGTGGGAAATGCAGCTACTGGTAAATTTCTAAATAAAATTAGATCCTAAAAAAATTATATTAATTAAATATTTATTTACGGTGTGTGTATATAATGAATGCAGTGTGTGTGTGTGTGAGTGCAGTGTGTGTGTGAGTGCAGTGTGTGTAAGTGCAGTGTGTGTGTGAGTGCAGTGTGTGTATGAGTGCAGTGTGTGTATGAGTGCAGTGTGTGAATGAGTGCAGTGTGTGTGTGTGTATGAGTGCAGTGTGTGTGCAGTGTGTGTGTATGAGTGCAGTGTGTGTGTATGAGTGCATGTGTGTGTGTGTGTAAGGAGGCAGTGTGTGTGTGTGCAGTGTGTGTGTGGAGTGCAGTGTGTGTGTGTATGAATGCAGTGTATGAGTGCAGTGTGTGTGTGAGTGCAGTGTAAAGGAGTGCAGGTGTGTGTGTGTGTGTATGAGGCAGTGTGTGTGTGTGGTAATAGAGCAGTGTGTGTGTATGAATGCAGTGTGTGTATGAGTGCATTGTGTGTGTGTATGAATGCAGTGTGTGTATGAGTGCAGTGCGTGTGTAAGAGTGTGTGTGCAAAAGGGAGTGCAGTGTGTGTGTGTATGAATGGTGTATGAGTGCAGTGTGTGTGTGTGTGAGTGCAGTGTGTGTGTGTATGAGTGCAGTGTGTGTGTGTGTGTGTGTGTGTAAGGAGTGCAGTGTGTGTGTATGAGTGCAGTGTGTGTGTATGAATGCAGTGTGTGTGTATGAGTGCAGTGTGTGTGTGTATGAGTGCAGTGTGTGTGTGTATGAGTGCAGTGTGTGTATGAATGCAGTGTGTGTATGAGTGCAGTGTGTGTGTGTGAGTGCAGTGTGTGTGTGTATTAGTGCAGTGTGTGTGTATGAGTGCAGTGTGTGTGTGTATGAATGCAGTGTGTGTGTGTGTATGAGTGCAGTGTGTATGAGTGCAGTGTGTGTGTGTGTGTGTTGCAGAGCCTTGGTGGGGGGTGGGCTTTTTTATTATTATTTTTCTTAAATTATTTTAATAATGTTTTTGTTTTATTAATATTTTGTTATTATTATTTTTTATTTTATTATTATTTTTAATATTATTTTATTATTTATTTCTTTTTTCGTCCCCCCTCCCTGCTTGATACATGGCAGGGAGGGGGGCTCTCCTTCCCTGGTGGTCCAGTGGCATTGGCAGTTCAGTGGCGGGAGGAGGGGAGCTGGCAGAGCTGTTACCTCTCCTGCAGCTCCTGTCAGCTCTCTCCTCCTCCACGCTGGTCCGTGCAGCTCCTCTGTCAGCTCACACTGTAAGTCTCGCGAGAGCCGCACTATGACCCCGCGGCTCTCGCGAGACTTACACTGGGAGCTGACCGAGGTGCTGCACGGACCGGCGTGGAGGAGGAGGGAGCTGACAGGAGCTGCAGGAGAGGTAAGTAACAGCTCTGCCAGCCCCCAGTCTGTATTATGGCAATATAAATTGCCATAATACAGACAGTGACTCGAGTATAAGCCGAGTTGGGGTTTTTCAGCACAAAAAATGTGCTGAAAAACTCGGCTTATACTCGAGTATATACGGTAATTTAGGTGACTATAGTGTTCCTATATATATAGTATTCATCACAATCTATTTAGAATTGAATGGTTCAGACACAGGAACGTAATCTGCAAAGAATGTTGGTCACTGCAAAAGGTCATCAACACAAATAGACCATTGCTTCAAACTGGGAATTCTGTTAGTCATCATAAGCATGGCACTTTGCCTTTTAGAGAAATTAATATTACATTTATTTTAAAATAATTTTATTTTCAAAATGTGTTTTCTATTTCTTGGAAATCCACTGTCACTTACTTATGCTAAATGTTCCTCTGAAAAGAAGGTTTTAAGTAACGACTTTATCTTGAAGCTGCTAACGATTGATGCCTTGCAAGTGTGTATGTGTTTGTGTGTATATGATATATATATATATATATATATATATATATATATATATACCCTCTCCTTGTATTCATCTGAGTTCAATAATATTTTACTACTAAATTCAGTCTGATAATAGTGTGCACTAATCGGAATACATACTTCATCAATTGATAATTACATAGCTAAAGAGAGACCTGTGTCTATCGTGTTCATTCTTTCTCACATCTGTTTGTGCTGTTGATCCAACAGAAGGCAAACAAAAACACTTCCAATTTTGCAACAATCTAGGAAAAATGTCCTTATTTATCCCAGAATGACAGACAGATATCTCCTTGGATCAAGAAGCCATTAAAAAAGGATTTTAAAAAGATATCCCTGAATATGCAATTATTTATCCATTTGCTGTTTAAACATCTGTCCAAACAGATACCACCTCTTCAGACAGAAAATTCCACATTTATATGGAATTTCTGTAAAAAAAGCTTTTTCTTAGTCTAAATGCATGACCGCGTGTCCTTTGTATAATAGATTTCCAGACGATGGTTTGTATTGGCCCAAATATATTTGTATAATGCTACAGGCGCTTTTTTTTTTTTTTCAAACTAACGAGATCTAAATTTTTTAACATTTCTTCATAACTAAAATGCCCTATTCCTTTTATTAATTTTGTAGCTCTCCTCTGCACTTGTTCTAGTGTTATAATATCCTTCTTTAGAACAAGTGCACAAAATTGCACAGCATATTTAAGGTGTGGCCTTACCAGTAATGTATAAATTATATTTCATGCCCTTTTTTTATACATAACAATACCTTACTTGCCTTGGCAACTGCCAATTGATGTTGTTGCCTAGTTTGTTGTCTATAACAATTCCCAAATCCTTAACTTGTGTTATCCCTAATTCATTTAGGGTGCAAGTTGCTTGTGCGTTCTTTACCTGAAACTGTATAACCTAATCTGCCATTTGAGTGCCCATTCCCCTAATCTATCTAAATCCCTATGCAGCAAAGCAATATCCTGCTCACATTTTATTATATTACAGAGTTTGTGTCATTTCCAAAAACTGAAAAAGGGCTTTCAATGTCTATTTCTAGATCATTTATAAATATGTTAAATAGAAGCAGTCCCCGAACAGAACCCTGAGGGACACCACTTACCACTTTTGTCTAGCTTGAAAATGTACCGTTAATGACAACTCTCTGTACTCTTTCTTCAAGCCAATGTTGTACCCAAATTCAAGACTTTTTATCTTGACCAATTCTTTTAAGTTTGAACACTAACCTATTATGAGGAACTGTATCAAACGCCTTGGCAAAAAAATCCATGTAGATCACATCCACTGCAATACCCTGACTTATACGTCTAGTTCTCTGTAGAATGCAATTAGGGTTGTTTGACATGACCTATGCTTCATAAAACAATGCTGATTATTGCTATTGTTAGTGTTCTTCCCAATTAATTCCTGAATATTATCCCTTAAAGCGGCACTGCCATGCCGAACTTACCTTTCCCCAATTGATTCCTCTTCTCTCCCTCTCTCAGGATCTGCTCTAGGTTTCTTTAAAACTTAAGAAAAAGTAGGGACTATTTCTCTTATGGAGGTTTCCTACGCGGTGTCCAGCGGAGGAGCAAAGTGTGCTTCATTTCCGGTTGTCACAGCAATTTTCCCACAATCCTTACCTTTCCTCCCTGTTCCCGCGATGCTTCCTCTCACTTAGACAGGACGCCGGCAAAACTGCCGAATTGCGTTCTAACAGTTTCTCCATTCATGTTAGAACGCAATTCAGGACTTTGTTCGTATCGGAATTTCATGTGAATGAATGAAACTCCGATCCTATTCATTCCCACGTTATTAGGGAGTTATCTACTAAAAGGCTGAAAGACCTAAATTGGTCTTTCAGCCACATTTACTAATACTAAGTAAAAATTAGTTAGTATTAGTAAATTCAGCCCCTACTCGCTGTACCGCGAGTAGGGGCATGTCTAGTAAACAGTGAGCAGCCAGGGCTGCTCACTGTAAAAAAAAAAAGCCCTAGTACCCTAAAGGATAATGGGGGCGGGGGGGTGGACCTATTTTCTTCCCCCCAGCCCCCACCCCTGAGCAGTGGGTGGGGGGCCATGATGGACAATGAAGGGGGGGACCTACTGTCCTCCCCCCCCAGCCCCCAACCCTGAGTGGTGGGTGGAGCCATAAATTACAATGGGGGGACCTACTATCCTCCCCCCCAGCCTCCACCCTTGAGCGGTGGGTGGGGGCCATAAAGATAATGAACGGGGAGACCTACTGTCCTCCACCCCCACCCTTGAGCGGTGGGTGGGGGCCATAAAGATAATGAGGGGGGGGACCTACTGGGTGGCGGGTGGGGGCCTTAAGACAAATCCCCCCCATCAAAGGTGACTAGGGGTCTCCAAGCCCCTATTCACCCACCTCCCCCACCCCAAAAAAAAAGTTACCCCCTACCTACTCCCTCACCCTAAAAAATAGTGAGGGGGGGATAAAATAACCAATCTGTAAAGAAAAATTAAACTTACCATTTGATGTCTTCTTTTGTTCTTAAATCTTAATTTTTCAGCCCCAAAAAAGGCCAAGTAAAAAAACCATCAAACCTGTCGAACTTAAAATAAAATAAAAATTATTATTAAAATTACAAATAATAAAATTACAAATAATAGGGTACTTTTATCTTTGTATACTAAAAGGTTAGCTCTTTTTTGTTCTTTCACTCTGTTGATAGTGCTATTTAGACTACTTAGTAAATATTTTTTTTGATAAATTTGTTCTTTAAAAAGTAAGCATGATCATTAACATCATCTATTAGAGAGCAATTTCTGCGAAGGTGTAGGAATTGACTTTTGGGGGCACTTTGAAGCCAGGGTTTATAGTGACAGCTAGACAGATCTATGGCTGTATTAGTACAAACCTTCTTAAAAAAGGTTTTTGTGTTGAGTTTATATGTATTAAGGCAATTTGCCTGCATTTGTGGGAGGTGCTGGTTTTCCACCCCTAGCCTACTTAAGGCACTCCCCTTGCCTGGCTCCTTACCGTTCGAGGTCAGCGTTGAATGAGGATCCACTTCCGGGTTCTCTCAGACGCCATCTTGGTTTCAGTATCCAGGAGGTTTCACCACGTTAAGCTGTGTCCAGGAATCCTGTTCAGGCCTTTCCGCCCATCCAGCTTCTTCTGACTCCGTTCTCCGTCGTAGATCGCGTCCCAGGGACTCCTAAACCGTAAGTCAGACCTTCCTGTCACGCCAGGACTGGTTCCCACGGCGTACGGTACAGCACGGGTCCTCGCTTTACGGCTTTTCCCTGGTTATGACACGAATGTTTTCAAGCCATTCGCGGGCTTTTCATTTCGTACGGTCATTCGGCTGAACATGTTTTAAATCGTTCAATAGTCATTTCGCATATCCTATTCATGTTATTTAAACGAATGTTCATTCGGTTGTTTTGCCGTTCGGCAAATTTTACATACGCTCACACACGCTTTGGTTCGCATAAATCATACGGTTAAACTATTCTAACTTCTGTGTTCCCCTCACATTTGCTTTCGGCTGTTCTGTGTGTTCACGTATAATCCTTTCATGAATTATATTCACCATTTCATGTGTATATAACATTCGGTTAAAGTATTGCTTGCTTAAATAGATTATTGTTGATTACTTTTAACAAATTGTCAGTATTGTATTACGTCCACAAATCAAGTCCACTTCTCTGTGTATACCATTTGACTCCCACGCTTTCAGGGGTCTGCATTACTTATCCATTTATACGAATGGACTCAGCCATGTTACAAGCCTCATTTCTGGGTTATTAATACAACACATACAAGGATAGGTTTATTTAAGCAATAATTCTCGGGCTGATACGTCTTTGCTATACATACATATCATATAGATATACATCACTTTACATCATGTTAAATCATTTTGGGGTATCCCTGCCTTTGGTCTTTCTGCTACATATCATACATAACGCTGTGTTAATTAGGCCATGACCTCATCCATGTCCCTTTCTATAAAACCAGTTACATTTCGGTACAGATCATTGAACTCCCACGCCAGGAGTTTTATAACTATCCATTTCATTTCAATTTACTCAGCCTACATTACAGGCCTCATTTCTCTGTCATGACGATGACACATAAGGCTCACATCCTTTTGCATGCATACTCGGGTTGAATCACACGTACTGATCCAACCAATCATACGTCCCCTACACAGTCATATACATATGTATATAACCTACGTTTCATGTTTTCCTTTACACACCATTATCACGTAACACATAGATTGTTTGTACATAGGCCACGGCCTCCCTCAGATGTCTTATTCAAGCATGCAAACATTTCTGAGCCACTCATAGCTATTCCCATGGTATCAACATAATTTTATACATTGCTGCTACAGACTATAAGTCTGGTTCTTTTACACCCCACACTCATCGTACTACTCTCTTTTACCCATTTTTAGGCTGTCGAGCTTATATAATTGCTCCACACGGTTTATTCCTGTGATTTATCATACTACCAGGTACGTACACCTGCTCATATGGTATTCTACCATACATTTCATTTCATCCCCCTAGTTTAGAGTACTGGCAATAGGGTCACAGGATTCCCAATAGATATTTACCCCATCTTGGCTGTCGCCATTAGTTAGTGGTCCCGCGAGGCCAACACCCCGCCTCAAACGTTTCGGAGGCAAACACCCATCGGGCCACACGTTAGCTAGCCGCCTCGCATGTTGCAAAGAGAGGGCCTCACCTGTCACTCCCTTCCCCTGTTTTCTGTCGTACAGTCACCGAGAGGCCTAAAACTCCTGCCACTACGTCAAGTGGCCTCAATAACCCCTCGCGCCAACGCATAGATAGAGCCTCTCAAGCCGCTTGGCAATTAGTAGGGCCTCACCTGTCACCAAACAAGCATAATACTTTCGCCATCCGGCCTAGCTAGCCTGCCAGTACAATTTGGTGGTTCTATATACTAATTATTGTTTTATTTATAGTATGTCTCAGGAAGGGGTAGAGGATTTCTCCCTGCCTAGCACCCCGGCTAGAGCTGTCACTCCCACACAAGGAGGAGAGCTAGCTAGTCCAGCATCAATTAGATCCTGGACAATCCCGCGCATAACCACGGAATTAAGGAGACGACAAATCCCCTACCCCGCTACAGCAAGGAAGGCAGAACTTTTCAAACTGCTACGCACATCAACCAATAACATGGAAGCCGGGGAAGGATCTAGCCAGTCCAACCCAGGGGACATACATGCCATGTTATCCTCACTCATGGCATCCATGGGCAAGGTCAACTCCAGGCTGGAGAAACTTGAGTCGGTCACCACGGCCCTCACTCTAGCAGGGCCACCCGCGGCTGCGGTACAAACACCAGCCTTGCCATTAGTCGCTCCAGCCAGCCCCCTGGATGACCAGGAAGTTAGCCCGGCCCACATGATACCTGAGCATATCAAAAGGGATATCCTGGAAGGTAAAGACGTCAATCTGGCTTCCCTGTTGATTGCCTCCCAGGACATTGTGGAACATAAGACGTATGCTTATGATGATGTTTCTGTTATTGTCAGATCTAGGGATGCCCGCCTGAACAGGAAACTGACTATCCCTGAATTTGTACTAGCGTTTGGTATTTACAGGGATGTCGTCTGTGCGGTTTATCCCAACAGAAGAGAGGAGTTTGATCTCTATATGCACAAGCTGGTAGACCTGGGCAACAAATATGGTGGTTCAGCATTCTATGACTACCATAGGTCTTTTTCTGCAAAAGTGGCTGGAGCCTTCTCCCAGTACGGTACACGGTCCAACTGGGGAAGGATTGATACCGTCTTATTCTGCAGACACTTTGCAGGTCTAAGAACACCAGCTTGTGCATACTGCTCCTCCACAGCCCATACTACTAATTTTTGTCCCAACACGGCAGACGGACATGCCTCCACACAAGGAACTAGTTCCTCTGGGGATCCAGGGAAACTATCCAAAGACAAATTGGGACGCCCAATCAAGTTTCTGGGCAAGTCCCAGATATGTAATAATTTCAATGTTGGGTCTTGTAATTACAGTGGATGTAGACTATTGCATGTCTGTTCAAAATGTTTTAGGGCACATGCTAAGACCATGTGTCCAAATAAAATGTATTCTAAGCCTTACCTTACGTCCATTAATATGCCAGTATTCACAGCATTGATGTCTCAGCACCCATCTAGACACCTGGTAGGTTTTCTTATTTCTGGTTTAACAGAAGGCTTCCACACAGGTATCCTACACATACCAGCTGGCACTCTGGAATGCCCAAACCTACAATCCGCCCAACACAACCCCACAGTGGTTGACACCCTCATAAACCAAGAAGTGAGGGCTTTGTATTGGGGCCTTTTAGAACTCCTCCATTCACAGAATGGCGCACCAACCCTATTGGTATTGTCACAGGGAAATCTTCCCAAAAACAGAGACTCATCATTGACTTATCGGCTCCCCACTCATCGGCCAACCCCAGTCTTAATTCCCTCATACCCTCTGAGGAATTCTCTCTGCAATACACCACCATAGATCACGCCATTACAGCTATCATACAAGCAGGGGTTGGAGCCTGGCTCAGTAAGACCGACATTACTAACGCCTTCAAATTACTCCCTATCCACCCCACACTGTGGCACCTGCATGGCATCAAGTGGTCCGAGAACTACTATTTTTTCTCCCGGTTAACTTTTGGGTCC